TATAGGCTACATGGTGTCCCGAAACGTATAATTTCAGACAGGGGTGTGCAATTTACCTCCAAGTTTTGGAAAGAGTTCCTGATGCTGATAGGCTCCACCCAGGGGTTAAGCTCCACCCACCATCCCCAGACAAATGGGGCTTGTGAGAGAACCAATTCTGTGTTAGAACAGTATCTGAGATGTTACATAAATTATCAACAAGATAACTGGGTGGACCTATTGCCATTTGCAGAAGTTGCGTATAATAACTCCATACATGAGTTTGTGCCAAATCCAGAACTACCTCAAGACAACCCACAAAATCCCTCTTTGATTGATTGGATCGAACAGGTATGAGGAACTTGGGCAGTAACTCGAAAAGCTCTCGATGAAGCACATCGAGCCCATAAAACCCAAGCTGACAAAAAGAGATGCCCGGCACATCCTTATAAAGTGGGGGACATGGGACTTCCGGGTTGCTGTTTGCCGCTGCCAGACGTTCCTTTGGGATCGTCAGCTTCCATCGCCTGTTAGAGCCGCCTTCACAATGGAATGGCGGCTCGAAAAAACTCCGTTTCCATGAGGAAACGGAGATAGAGCCGGCAGGGGTGGGTAGAACTCTCTGCGGAGTCCCAAAAGTTTTTTTTTTTACTTTTGGGACGGAGCGGATGAGATGCCCCGTATCCCCAGCCGCCGCTCCGGGCTTTGGGAGACCTCTGCTGATGCAGAGCCAGGCGTCAAAAGCAAGCCTGCAAATTTAACAGACTACTCAAAGAAAATGTGAGCTGGACCTGTAATATTGAACTGCAAGTATTTTACTGATTTTTACTGAAAAAATTACTTAAGAGAGAGGAGGAAAAGAAAGAGGAAAAAAAAAAGAAGCCTTTTAAAATGGCGTTGGCTGGAGGAGAGGCTGAAAGGGAAGTCTTTCCGTTTTCTATTACTACAATGTAGCGGAATAAATACCACTGGCTACATTTGTAGACAAAACTTTGCTCCTGTGTCTTTTTCTCTTTTTTTTTCCCTTGGAGACCTGATATTGTTGTTGATTGGAAAGAAGTCCCTTTTTTTTTTCTTGCTTGCTTTTTTTTTTAACAAAGCCTGCCTGGGCGGAAACATGGCACTGAGACTCATAAAGTCAGATAAACAAGAAGGGGGGGGGGGATCCCCCCACCAACAACTTAAAGGAACAAGTCTTAATTCTTCAGTCTCAGAAACCTGACTTTAATATAATAGAATTTTTTATAGAGGAGATTGAAAGAAGGGAGGAGATTGTGAATCAGCAATTTGAAAAATTTAAGCAGGAAATTAAAGAATTGGTGAAATCTAAGTTTGATTTTTTGGAGAAAAAACTCTCAAAAGTGGTTAATGGTTTTACAGGATTTATGAAACAGTTGGACGCAAATACTAATGTACTAGAGTCTAAAATGGAAGAAATTCAAGATAAATTGGACAATAGAATTCAAAAAATTGAAAATGATTTGACAAACACTCAGGATAATAGCTTAGAAGAAAAACCTAAAATGGATGCTGATCAAAAGTATGGTAATGTAGAAAATCTGCAACAGAAGATTGAAAAAGAGATTTTAATGGTACAATATAATTTTACAGAATATGCGATAAGATTAAGAGGTTTGCAGGAAAATAATAGAGATGATTTAAGGAAAATATCTTCTGAATTTCTAGCTGGGATTCTAAAGGTTCAACCTGACGAAGTGTTTTGTAGGATCGACAGAGTTTATCAAATCAACTCCTGGATTGCTAAGCAAAGGCAATGGCCTAGAGATGTGGTGATTTATTTTACAGATAAGGAGATTAGGAATAATATCGTTCAAAACTCCTTCAATTCTAATTTGCAATTGTATGGAAGAAAGATTTGGATTTACAAGGAACTTCCACCTAAGATATTGATGGAAAGGAAGAAATTTGGTTTTCTGGTGAATGAGTTAAAAAAGAGAAATATCTCCTACAGGTGGGACGCCCCAGTGGGTATTATATTTAGATACCAAGGAGAAAGATATCAGCTAAATACTGTTGAAAGAGCGGAAGAATTTTATCAAAATAGGTTGAAAATGAACTTAACATCTCCAGGTATAATACAGGATAAGCAGAGGGAGCCGGAAATAAAGGTAAAATATCGAATTACAGAGACTGTACCAGATGAATTGCCATTGGATTTATTGGATACCCCAGCTGGACTATCTACAAATTTGAGAGAAGAGGCATCTAATCCTAATGTGATGACTTATCAAAGCAAGGATAAACATGGAAACCAATTAGGGGATATACAAAGGATAAAAAAGAAATATGAGATACAAAAGCAAAACCAACAAGACCAATCTACAAAGCAGAATAAAAACCGACCAGATGATACACACTTTATAGAAAGGGAACCAGGATGGAAACCAAACCCACAAAAAGAAAAGAAAAAAAGAAATAGGTGGCATAAAAACAGAAATTTCTAATCAGGCAACAGTGAAGCCAGTGATTTTAAAATATGAACGATTATGGGTAAACACAGAAGAGGCGACGTATTGGTTAATATCATCCTGAGGTTTGTGGCAGATCTCTGCATGGCCGTAATCCGGGGACGTGAAACGAGCCTTAAACTGATGGATTTGAATTATCCATTTTGGAATTTCTTTTTGTGTTGATAAACATATTATATTATCTTGAATCACAAGGCAAGAGAATTATGCTGGGGCATGCAGAAGATCGGGTTGTTACCCACTACGATGATGGGAATTAATAATCCTGATGAAACCCACAATTATTACTATATGGAATATAATTATAATGTCACTCGGGTGGTTGTTTTTACTTTTATACATATAAGAAGATATTTACTACTGATGGGGGCAGATATGATTGAAGATCCTGAATAAACTGTTGCACCAGTAACCTATGTTACCCGATTATGGATGTTGGTTCTACCAATCCAGTGGAAAGACCTCAAAGAAGATACTATATGGATTATAAATTTAAAGTCATTGTCTTTTCTTTTTTTTTATTTAGATATAATGGAAAATATAGACATATATTTTTAAGAAGTGTGGGCAGTGAATCAAAGATGTTAAGAAATGTTGTGTATGGCAATTTTGCATGATAGTGGGTGAATAAGCTATTTAGTAGATTGATTAGTCTAAGAAAAGGGATTTTTAAGTGTTATATTTAGGGGAGTGGAGGAAATGGATAGAGTGGAATAAATGTTAAACTAGATTTTATGGGGAAGGCCGCTTTGGAATGTTATAGTAATATATATAGAAGATTAAATGTTAAAGTAGGACTTATCGTATAGTTTTAAAGTGGAGAAGTTATTTTATAATGTCATAGTATAATGTCTTTTTTTTTTCTTTTCTTTTCTCTTTTTTGATATGTATGGATAAAGGGGGATGTTATAATATTAATAATATTTTTAGTAAGTAAAGGTCAATATCTAGAGGAGGGAGTAAGTAATCTGTTATGAATTATGTTTTTTTTTTTGTTATGAAGAAGTCACAGGGGGGATGGGTGAGGAGGGGGGGTTAGGGAGGGGGAGGGAGAGGGGAAAAAAAAGGGGGGGGGAAATTTGTATTTGAAAACTTTTTCAATAAAAAAAAAAATAAAGTGGGGAACATGGTTTATCTCTCCACCAAATATTTAAAAACCTCCCAAAAGTCAAAAAAGCTTGGACCCAAATATGTGGGACCTTTTTCAATCACCCGAGTAATTAATCCAGTCACGGTTGAATTGGAATTACCAAAAAATTTGTGACGATTTCATGTCAGCTTATTGAAACCAGAACATTTATCCCCTTTACGTCCGGACCAAAAACACCCCCCTGTCCCCATTCTGATTGAGGGTGAGCAACATTTTGAAGTTAAGGAAATTTTAGATTCCTGAAAGCATCATGGTAGAGTGCAATATTTGGTGGCTTGGAAACATTTTCCATTATCTAAAGCTGAATGGGTAAATAAACGTGATGTTTGGGCGCCAAAAAAGTGCAGTTGTTTCACACCAAATATCCTGATAAACCTTAATTTATGTGTTGTGTTGTTATCTCTTTTCCCTTCTCTTTTCTTTTAGGAATAAAAGCTCATCTGAAGGGGGGCCGAATGTCAGCCTCTGCCTTTACTGCTTTGGCTGCCATGGTAATGGGGGGAGGGGGGAGCTAGTGTGTGTGGGGGAAGCATGCTGGAGAGGAGACTTAAGCTACTGTGCTGCATCTTTGAAGCTGCTATCGGGTCAATGGTCGTGGCATTCCTGATTGATGACACTGCCAGACGTGTGCTACCACCTGACCTATGGGAGACCTTTGGATTGGATGATTTACAATGGACAGTGAGAGGGAATGCTTTCTATCTGTAATTTTCACGCTTTTGCCTCAGATTCTGCTTTTCTTTGGTTGTGATCACTTCAATTTTCAGTAAAAGTACTTTTCTCTATAAACCATGGAGTTGGGGTCATTCTTTCTTGGACTTTGAAGGAAGCACACCTGACACATGTGATGGACATTTGGGTGCAGAGGAAGGGATTTGAACTTTCCTTTGGGTGGGGAAAACCTGGAAACTTTCAGATTCAGGTTTTCCCAGATGTGCCAATATGACAACTCTAATAAAATGGAACTTTGAGGAACTTTTAGCCTCAGAGTCTTCTTTCGTTGGGGGTGTTACTTGGAACCCTGACATAGGAAAGTTTACCTTTTTCTACTGAGTTCGTAATTTAAAAATATGGATTTACTCCCTTCTCCCAATATATACACATTACTGAATACAAATTGCTCATATATATGAAGGGGGGGGGATAGAAACTTTACTTTATTTTGCTCAAAATAAGAAAAGCAAAGAGTATAACTTCTGAACATGTGATTTATTTGATATGAGATCAATCTACTGTCTATATTTTTATGAATATTTATTAAAGTTCATAAATAGAGAGAGCTAACTTTAAAAGCCTTTGATTGTTTTGGTTTGAGTCATACCCATGTGGAAGTAATTCATCATTACAATATTGCTAAGAAATATTTCAATTGCTTAGCTTACCTGCCATTGCCTCATGAGCTCCCGTATTCCTTGAGTATCTTCTAGGATTCTCTCTTTAAGTGTGGCATCCTGTAGGACATTGGCAGTGGTTTCTGCTTCTGTAAGCCAGGCAAGAAACTGTTCCAGATCCAAGTAGAATTGTTGTAAGAGCCTTAGGGCTGCTTCCAATGAGGCCTCTTGCTCTCCAACACTGTGAAAGTGTAAACATAGTTACATGACGATGAGTAACTGGGATCCAAAGTGGTTCATTCACTCATATAGACAGAGAATATAGGAGAAATTTTCAGTAATACTGAAATGAAATTTGAATTAAACTTTATGCAAAAGTGTCATAAATCCTTTTAAGTAATGTTTCCCTCTGAAACCATTAAAACTAATTTCTACCCTTTTGCAAAGGGAAGATAGAAGTGACTATTTAGTAACATTTTTACTGATAATGGACAGTTATGGCTCTACAGAAGTGAAGATGATAATGTTGCATTTTTACTATTATAATTTGAAACAAGCTCCTTAATCACAGGTGTCACTATTTCCAAATGCTATATAAACCTATTAAGAGAAGTCAAATAAATCATTTCTTTACCACTGACTAGTTATAATTTACTGAAACCTAATAAATTTCAGGGTTAGGGAGTGTGATCCTATCTGTTGATCACAGTTGACTATGTTTTTAAAAAAAATAGCTTCTTAAAAAGAATATGCATATGTATATATACACATACAAGAAAGAAGAAGCAAAAAATATAGAATAGATAGTGTCAAGAAGCTTACAAATGTAATAAAGATATGTTTTTTCCATTTCCATATCCATAATTTAATAAAGGAACATGAATATCTGAGGGAGAAGGGTGGTTAAGAAATATGAAATATAATAAATATAAATAAAATATCTTTGACCCCCCCCAAATTATGATTAAATTCAATACAGAATAAAATCATATTGAAATACTACCGATTTTCGCTCTATCATACATGTTTGTAATATATGCCTGCCCTGCCCTGCTGACCCTGCCCTGTCTTGCCTCGCCCACCTTGGCTGGTAGCTAGAGTCATGCCTGCACCCAGCTATTCTCTGGCTCCTTCGCTCACTCACCTAGACCACGTGGTCCAGCTGATCTCCGAGCCTCACCTGCTTGCCTCCCTTTGCCATGGCCTACCATGCTGGCCATGTGGCCCAGCTGATCTCTACATCTTGCCTGCTCTGCTCACCATGGCTGCCCACGAAGGTAAGGTGCTCAGCCAAAGGGCTGCCTCAGGGTGGATACAGAAAGGCTCGGCTGCCTTTCTGCCTGGCTCGCACCATCATGCCACCCGCATGCCACCCACTCGCCCTTTGCCTTGGGTCAGGAATGGGCCAGTCCCTGTCTCTGGCCTTTCCCGGGGCCTATGCCAACATGCTCAATCACCCTTCGCCTAGGGTCAGCAGAAGTGCCAGTCCGTGGCTCTGCCTTTCCTAGGGCCTCCACCTACATGTCGTCCAATCACCCTTCACCTCAGGTCGGGGGACATGCCAGTTCCTGTCTTTCTAAAGAGACACCTCCCTCTCTCTGCCCACTTGCTCCTGCAAGTTTCTACCAGGGTCTCACACTTTGCCAAATCGGCTCGCTTACCTCTGCCCCGTTTCCCCTTCTTCAGAGGCCCTTATTCACTCTCCCAACTTCTTCCACCATGACTGCCTCTTTTTTTGTCCCGTGACCTTACCTTCCTCCCACAACTGGTGGCAGACAGCAATTTGGCTTTCCTGACTGGCTGCAACCTTACCTTACTCCCATGGCTGGTGGCAGAGGGGAAGGTGAACCAGCCAGGGCTGAGCCATCGCCGCTCGACTTCCCACAGCTGCTGGGCCTTGCCTGTGGGGGGGGGCAACCAGGAAGCTGCCCGTATCGCCCCTCTGCTAGCCGCCCTACCCTCACCCGCCCACAAGCCCGCACCCTTCAGCCAAGTGCAGGCCGCTGCTGTGAGAACGGTGCAAGCCTCATGGGCTGGAAGGTAAGGCTGACAGAAGCAGCATGTCCCCTTGTCGTGGGCTGGATGCAGGACCCAAGGCGGAGCGGAGGTTGAGCAGGCGGCAGCTCAGAGCAGGGCCTGAAAGGCAGCCTCGCCTCACTGTGTCCCCCCCACCAAGGCGGCCCTTTGGCTGAGTGCAGAAATCCCAGAGCGGATCTTCCTTCTGCACATCAGCCTTACCTTCTAGCCTGCTGGCAGGTGAGGCCCAGCAGCTGCGAAGAATCTGTGTGGGGGGCAAGATGTGAGCTGGGGAGGAGCCAAGCGGCAGTGGCTCAGCCCTGGCTGACTCGCCTTCCCCTCTGCCACCAGCCATGGGAGGAAGGTAAGGTTGCAGCCAGTCAGGAAAGCCGAATCACTGTCTAACCCAGAGCTGCCAGCGGGGTGGGTGAGGCAGCAGCACATGCCTCGCTTGATGTTCCCAGCCCTTTATTTAAAAATCTCCCCAAAATAGGGACGGGAGGAAGACAACGCGGAACTGGGCATGATTGTCCCTTTGCGCCCAGTCCCTGGGAGACTGGCCAAGAGCACCTGGCAGGCTCTGGCTAGGCTGGCTGGCTGGCTCGCGAGGCAGTGGTGGCCACTGGACCAATGCTGGGGTCGCTACTCAGGGAAGCCGGGCCTGGATAAGGTGGGCTGCCCTCACCCAGGCGGCTCCAAAATTAAATGCTTCCTTTTCTTGCAAGTACGTACAAATATCATTAAAGGGAGAAATGAGTGAAGGAGAAGGGAAGTTCTGTAACCAGAAAAACTGAGAATGAAAACAATGTATTCCAGTTAAATTAGAAGTGGTTTTTTGTGAAAGATCTGTGAATGTTTTGGAACATTGCAATAAGGTCCAAGGGGGAAAAAAACAGAAAGATTTAATTAAAAGAGAAGAGAAAGAATGGTAAAACATCCACTAACTGACTGCTTTGAAAATGCCTTTCAAATGTGTTTTCATTTACAATGGAATGGAAATATTTGCTTGACTATATGCTTTAATGTTCAAAATGTATTCTTCAAGCTTCTCACCAAAAATGCAATTTAATGGAGAGTAAAGTAACATTTTACATTTAGACAAATAAATCCCCAAATGAACAGGTATAGAATAGGTGGTGCCTGGCTCAACTGGAAGTAACTGTGAGACGGATCTGTGACATGGAAATTTATTAAACAGATCCAACTTAGAAATAAGAAGAAATTTCCTGAGAGTGAGAACAATTAATCAGAGGAATGAGATGCCTTCAGTAGTTGTGGGAGGTTTTTTTTTTTTTTTAAATGTCCATAATAATATCATGCTTCAGCAGGGGTTGGACTAGAAAACCTCCAAGGTCCCTTCCAACTCTGTTATTCTTTATAAATCTCTCCATTCAGTCTTACCAAGAGAATGGTGATAAACAATACTTGGAAATGTACATCAGGTCTTCTGATAGCAAAATCTCATCTTATTGGCTAGTATCAAGGGGAAAGTGACTTTGAAAAAGTTTCCTCTCTCACCATAACATGCAAGATGAGGTGAGTACTGGCTGGGAGGGGAGGTATGAGGACCAGCTCCCCCCCCCACTTCCAAGAAAGTACAAACTCTTGAGAACTTTGTATTTCAAAAGGGACTGTTTATTGAAAGGGATGAAAGCAAGTCAAAACTCAGTGCAGGCTCTGGGATCCCTCAGGGCATGCAGTTCAGGATAAAGGAAATTAAGAACCTCCTCCCCACCTTCCGATGTGGATTCTGACCAATCCGCCCGTGTGAATGCAAATTACACCAGCCTCTCTGAGAAACAGATACAAAGAGCTTCTCAGAGTCATTTAACAATCCACTCATTCCCCCACCTTCTCTTTCATTTCCCGAGGTGTGAGAATTCTCCAGGCATTCCTGGCGCCAGGCAAAGGTTATAAATCAGGGTAAAGTTTATACAAAGAGGATCAGGCAAGAAATTGGATACTTAGGACACATAGGAAAAGAACTAAATGTGACAACTCCAAATCCCCCCTTTTTTCACGAAGAATGGCAGATACACGGATCTGACAGGAGGGGTGAGGAGAGATCAGGCGAGTCACCCCTCGATGTGAGTGACATTGAGTTGGCCACACCCAACCCAATGATGCCCAGTCACATGACCACCCAGCCACACCCACCCAGCAGTCATTAGGGCAGAGAACCGATTGTTAAATTATTTGAATCCCATCATTGATTTCAGTACATAAAAAGAAAAAGAAAGTCCCCAGAGAGATACACACGCAGAAAACACACCAGACTTCGTTCCAACTCATGGGAATAAAATACAAAATTCACTGCCCAATTCAATATTAAATGTAAACAGCACAATAATTTAAGCTTTCTTCACCTGAGATGCTACTTCACTGCATGACCACAAGGTATTCCACACAGAGCTGCCTTTAAACAGCCCCAAAAACTGCAATTGTTACAAAATGGAACAGCCCACTAGTTAATTGGTATTAGATACCCAGAACACAGTAGTTTTTAATGTGTGTGGGGAAGGTTTATTATATACTGTCTCTTACTATTGAAAGGAACAATTAAACATTGAATAATTAGATATTATAGGACAGTGATGGCTAACCTTTTCTGGACTAAGTTCCCAAAAGCGTGCATGCAGATGAGCAAATGCACATGTGTATGGCTGAACCCCCAAAATGCAATGTGCATGTGACCCCCATGCATCCGCCCACCTCCTGCACATGCACGCATGGCCCCCTGCATGCACCCCACCCCCTGTGCATTTGCATGCGTGGCCCCCCCTGCGCATGCACACAGAGACCTAAAGACCAGCTGGCCAGCGGGAGGCATGCACGCATGATTAGCAGAGTTGAATTGGGGCGACAGCTTGCCTGGCATCAGAGAGGGCACTGTGTGCTATCTCTGGCATGCATGCCATAGGTTCACCATCATGGTTATAGGATATAAAATGTTTATCTTTAAAGAACAGAAGTTCATGCAGAGTTAAGAATAGTGATTTGGTTGTCACAAAGCATTTCCAGAGCTTCTTTCCCTTTTTAAAAAATGTGTTCTAATTATTGTCTTTTTTTTTTCTCTTTTTTTTCTTCCCCTATAGTCAACTGCCTTTAGAGTTAGGGAAGCCCTAACCTAACCTGCTAAACATTCTTACTACTTTCCTTAAGAGAACACCTGACAGCTAAACTATCCACTTCCATTTTAATGAATCAACACACCACTGTTTAATT